CACAAACCCAGGAACCCGGCATACTTGCTCCTCCGAGGAAAAAATGTGAGCTGTAACAGATGGATTAAACAACAGAGAGTTCTGTAACTCAAATAAGTGCTCCTAAGAATAGCTTTTTTGTATCCACCTTTTATTTATTAAAACACTTTGGACTTCAGTTAAGTTTCTTTGCTCAGCATGGGTTATTCTTTCACACCAGCTTTGAAACAAACCGCAAGCCCTTTTTTCTGGTCATCTAATTTCATTATAACTTCTACAAGCCTCTCTGTGGAAATTCTAGTTGATACATTCCTCTTGACATAGACCTTTGATCCGAACCCAGCCTCCTACAGAGATACTCCTGAGCTAAGCACTACAAACATCATCTTCTTTCCTTTTCCACTTTCTTTTAAGTGATCACCTAGCCCAACAGCAAAACCCACCTTTGCCCCAGGTTTGAAGAGTCTGTTTCTATACAAAGCAGGTGGGGAATGAAAAACGGTATTCTATACTCAAGTACCACTTGCCACATCCAAAGCACCTACCTCCTGCACTCAAAAGTCCAGCTCTGTAAGGGCCACTCTAGCTTAGATAAGTGTTTGGGCACTTCCTAGGTAATGCTCTACCTCACACGTACTCAGAGTTCAAATAGGAGACATTTTTAATTTTTTAAATTAATAATTGCCATTTCAAGAGTATTGACCATATTAGACATTTTATTAACAGTAGAACCTCATAATCCCCATTAATTGCTAAGAGTCCTAGTGAAAATTAGGGAGAAAGCAAACAACATAGCTCAGGAGGGAGCCTACTAATTTAATCAATGCAACTTACATGTATTTAGAGATGTTTATAAGGAGCTAGCAAAAAGGTACTATTTAGTGGGTTTTGTGAAAGAAGCAAAAATCTCAGTAACATTGGGGCCTTATGCCACACACTATTTCATCTTTGCTAAGAAATTGGGAGAAACAATGGCCCACTGCATATGCAAATTATGCAGTGTATGGATTATCAAAGTAAATATTATTCACTTGCATTCTGTGCATCAACAATGGAGACGGGATGATTTCTTCTACCCACTGGAAGGTAATTTTTTTTTAAAGAATGTATCTGTTCTGTTTCTCCTAGCCCTAAACATGGTCATTATTCACTTTCCATAAGTCACCCCAGACTCCACTGTGCATACTTTCCATTCTCTTTCCATAGCCTCTCCCCATCCCCACAATGTCTGTCCCAATCCCAACTATCCTCTGCAGACACTAAGTAGAAGACAAAGCTTACAATCAACTGCACACTTGATTATCCCAGTAGAGGTTACTACTTGTCCAGTCAATAGTCTCAGCCATGAGGTCACAGATAGGCCAAAGGGACTAGGGAATGTTAAACTTCATTTAATCGGCTGATCAAGTAATCAATGGAATTTCCATTGACTACTCGATTAGTCAATAAGGGGCAGAACTGCAGAGCTGCAGTGGACTTAGCTCCTGGCCCTGGAGGTAACTCAGCTGCGGCTCTGCCTTTTAAATGTATGAAGAGCCACGAGGCTCTTAATACGTTTAAGAGGCAGAGGTATAGCGGGGTGACTGGGCGCAAGTTGGGAATCAGCTGTCCCAGCTCATGCCCAGTCGCAGACTGTAATCTGGGACCAGGCATGAGCCGGGAGAGCTGATTCCCGGCACATGCCCGGTTCTCCCCTACCTCACTTACATCGAGACTGGAATTATGCTCCTCTAACTCCTCTAACCCTAGATATAGTGCCTCTAGACCAGAGAAGTACTGTTCAATATATGAGCTTCTCTAAACAAAGGACAGACAAAGCTTCTCTCTCACAGCAATATACCTTCATATATGAGGCTAACAGAAGGACTGTAATGAGTGCAGGCTATTTGATGAAAGCATATAATCCATGGAAGGGAAAAAGTTTTCGATGGGGGCCACTCCAAGAATTTGGAAAGTGGTCGGGGGTGCACTTTTCTACTATATTAATGGAAGGGATGTGGGGACTGAGATGGAGTTTGGGTACAGCAGGGGGCCTTGGGTAGGGATTTGGGATACAGACGTCAGGGTAGGCTCTGTGAAAGAGTTTGGGTTCAGGAAGGTTCTCACCTGGGACAGGGGTACAGGACGGGAGGAAGTCTGGGAGAGAGTTTGGATGAAGTAGGCAGTTGTGACCTGGGAAGAGGTCTGGGGTACAGGATGGGGTGCCAGATGCAGGGTCTAGCCAAGAGGCACTTACTGTAGGTGGCTCCCAGCTGGTGGCCCAAAAGGACTCTCAGGCAGGCTCCCTGGCTGCTGCAGTTGCACGCACCTCTCAAAGCGTCCGGCTGTTGGAGCCAGATTGTATCTACGCATTCATCCTCACAGAGAGAGGGGCAGCGGGTCGCTACATGCTGCACATGCTCACTAGTACTGCCCTTGTTTCCAGCCTACAGGAGGCTGCAAGGATGGCGGTGTGAGTGGGGACAGGATGCAGAGACCCCCATTTCCTCCAAGGGGCACATACTGCACAGAGTCACACACTTTGGCCCCACCAGCCAGCTGCTTTGAGCAGCATGTGGGTAGGGTTGCCAGATGGTTTCAGAAAAAATACCCAACAACAACAAAACACACCAGGAAAAAAAAAAGGCCCCCAAGAGTTGTTAAGCAAAAAAAACCAAAACCAAAACCAAAACCCCACTGTTGTCCCTTTAAAAACCGCGTGGTGAGGCTTTTTGGCCCTAACAGGCAGCCAGCAGCTGTCCGCCTGCCATCTTGCCTCCCTGCATTGGGCCGGACAGCTCCCTGCGGAACCCGGTAAGCACTAGGGTTGCCAGGCTGCCTCCATATTGAGCCAGACAGCCCGGGATTTTCACCTCCTGGACAGGAAAAAATAAGAAAGTACCGGACATTTTAGGTGTCCGGCATTTTCTGAAATTTTTTTACACGACAGGAGTAGGGTTGGCAGATGGTTTAACCAAAAATACCAAACACCCCCTCCCAAAAAAAATACAGGGGAAAAAATTCTGTTGGTGGGGGGGAGGGGGGAGAGAGGGGAAGACCAAAGTTGTTGAGAAAAAAAAAAACTCAGCATTAAAACAGCATGGCCCCTTTCAGTGCGTGCAGAGTCAGACTAGGGATAAGAACAGGGTAGCAGTTGACCAATAAGACCCAGGGCAGACATTGCTTCCCCTTGGTCTTTAGGCTTTTAGTTGGCGGCCATTTTGTTTCCTTGATCAAGCCAGAACACAGCTTCCCTGTGGAACCAGGTAAGCAGGAGGTCCGGGGGCAGCAGGCTGGGCCCAGTTGAGGGGACCCCAGGTGCTGGGCCCAGTTGCTGAGCATGTCGTAGGGTTGCCTGGTGTCCGGTATTTTTGCCTCCTGGCAGGGCAAAAAAAACCCCAGAAAATACCAGACATATTTTCTGATTTTTTTTTTATTGGACAGGAGTTGAAAATATTGGGCTGTCCGGGTCAATACTGGACACCTGGCAACCCTACATGTGGGGCTGCAGCAGCCACAGAGCTTGCCTAAGATCTTGCTAGGCTGGATCCAGTCCACAGACTGTATTTTGCCTGCCTTTGTTGATTGTGTCTAAGGAACTACCTACAGAGTAACCCCAGTCAAAATAGATACCTTCTTATTTATAAGCAAAACAATACAGCTATCTATTAATATTAGCAAGCGCATACGGGCAATGCTTCCTGGAATTGAATGAATGCCTTTGCACGCCCTTTTAGTTCAATATTCCAACTAAAAAAAAAGAGCAGCTGTTAGAGCAACTTCCCCTCTTTTCTTGGGAGAAGCTGTGTAATGGGAAAAACTGCTAAGAGCTATTTAATCCTTAAAAATAACACATTTCTACCACACTTTTTTGTTTGTTTTTAAATCCTTTCTCTCTCTCTCTCTCTCTCTCAACAAAGTTCTGCTAAAACAGCACAATGTCCATTGTGTTCTGTTGTTCCCCCTCGCTCCCAAATACCACAGTGAATAGATAGGAGTTCTCCTTTAAATAAAACAATGGCCACTAAAAGAAAAATAATGCAAAGCACTGAAGCAGTCATGAGACTCATGGTTTAATACCTTGTACATATTTGGCTGGTGGAAGTAGTTGGAACTCCCTCTCCTTTAGCTTGAGCCAGTAAGCGTTTGAGGTTCTGAAAGTACGATCTAAACCAGCTTTTCTGCTTTTTAAAGGCCTTGTTCTAGTTCCATGCAACAGTCACAAATGTCATAGGAAACCAGCTGGAGTCTTTTTGGAAGCACATTTCAAGTTTGTTAAATAAGTTTTTATGATTCCCCAACTTTTTATTTACAGGCTACTTAACTCATTCCCATATTTCCTCAAGTCCTCACTAATCTTTCCTCTATGAACAATGAAGCAAAGGCCAAGTATGATTTCCAGTCGCTGAAGCTGGCTCAGTCACTCCGGTGGTGTTGTCACTTTGAACACTAACCAATGAGCTTGATGGTAATTATGAGGGCAGATTACAGGGCATCCCTATCACTTTAATGACAACTTTTCCAAACCCTCTGCCCAAAATGTTTCAAGGTGACCTAAGCACCATCAGTGTGAGAAATCAGGCTGCATAGAAACAACATATATGATGTGGATTTGTAGCCTACCATATCACTGTGATAACTCTGATTACTTTATAAGTTTGATTTGCTTTTAACCCCTTTTATTCTGGCCCCACTAATGCAACCCCTGAACAACTATCACCTATTAACATGTCAGCAGAGCACCTGCATTGTACCTTGCAATGTCTCAAATGACCATATAGCAAAATAGTAGTTAATGAAAAATGGAGCACCACAAATGTGGAATGATCATACATGCCAGTGAGAAAGTTCGAATTTCCTCCCTACTGCATGTTCCCCTCCCCCCCGTCCTTTTTCGCATTAATGCTTCTTTCACACATAGGTTTACAGTTCTCATTATGCAGTCAGATCTAACTCAAGACCACATACACAAGAAATGTTTCTAGGACTATTAACTTTTAGAGATGATGGAAAAAGAGATCATATCGAAGCCATGCACTTACTTTGCCAAGTGGTTCATAAGCATCTGCAGCATCTGTCTGTTTTTTTCTGGGAGTCGATGCACAAGGTTGTGGATTTCTGAGATTCTGGATTCTTGATTCTCCAGCTCTGCATTGGGAAACAAGATATTATTCCATCTGCTATCTGCTCCCTTTTTTAATACTAAAAAAACACCCACATCAGGACAGAAATTCAATCAGACATAGGTGTCTTAAATAGAGCTGGCCGGGAAAGGTTCAAGAAGCACTGAACTTAGGAAGAAGAAAATCCAATGCACAACTACAAAATGTGGATATAACTGGCTAAGTATTGCTGAAAAAGATCTGGTGGTCATAGCAGATCACAGAGTTAATATGAGTTCAACAATGTGGTGCAGTTGGGAAAAAAAATTCTGGGTAGGGATGTGAATGACTAGTCGCTCCCCACTCCTCCCCCTCCCCCCGCTTGCTGCTTCTATTAGAAAGAGGCAGAAAGGGAAGGAGAGGAGAGAGTGCTTCAAAGCAGCAGTGCCATGTGGAGCCCAGGGTCTGTTGCTTTGAAATGCCGCGTGCAGCCCAGGGCCGGCTGGGAGAGCAGCACTCCCACTTTAAAACACCGCAGGGAGCACGGGACCAGTGGAAGATTGCTTGAGTCCCCCACTGGCCCCGTGCTCCCCGCAGCACTTTTACCTTTGAAGTGCAGCAATAGCCCCAAGGCTGTTGCTACACTTCAAAGGCAGAGGTGCCCTTATCGACTAACTGAATAGTCGATGTACATTTTTAAACTTCCCTAATTCTGGGATGTAGTAACAGGAAAGTGCTATATTTAAAACATGGGGTGCAAATAAACAAAATTCTCAACCAGCATGGGGGAGAAGACACACCAGTTAAGGGGGGGCCATGTGACTCTGCCCGGCCCCCAGCCCAGGGCCCCCCACAATCTTCCCTTCCCCATCCCATGTTACCTGAAGGGGAAGGGAGGTGGCTGGTACAGCACTTGAAGCAGAACAACCAACAGCTCCTCCTTTCCCTGCTACCACTCCCAGGGGGAAAGGAGTAGAACTCACAACTCTACCACTCCATGGATCTGTCCCATCTTTGTACGGGGCTGAAGGAGTGTGGCGATGGAGGGGGAAGAGAGGGAGAATTTGTCTCCTTTCCCTATTGGGAGGAGCAGCAGGGAAAGGAGCGGAACACCAGAATTCCTCTGGCTGCCATCGCACTTCCACTCCCACCCCACCCCAGATCTCAGCCCTGTACAGAGACACCTGGCAGTTCAGTGGAAGGGCTGGGGATGTCCGTCACAGAGTTTTTCCAGTTCACCATATTGGCTAAAATTTACTATCTGGTACGGTGTACCACCCCAGCCCAGTCCACTTGCACCGCTGATAAAGGCAGTTGTCCTTCTTTCCTGGTATTAGTGAGGTCTCAGTTGGAGTAGTGTGTCCAGTCTGGAGTGTCACACTAGGAAAGATGCAGACAAATGGGGAGGGGGGCAGATTCCAGAGGCTGGCAGAAAGAAACAAATTAAAAAAAAAAGAAGAAGAAAAAGAAGAAAACCAGACTTGTAAGGAAAGATTAAAAAACTGGTCATGTGTAGTCTTGAAAAAAGGAGAACAAGTGTAGCCTGATAACAGACTAGAATATACATAAAGATGGTTATGAAGAGGATGGTGATCAACTGTTGAAGTAGATCAAGAAGTAATTGGCTTAATCTGAGGAAGGCAGAGTTTATCAGGACAGCTGAACATTGGTACAGGCCTTCCAAGGAAGGTTGTGGAATCCCCATTATTGGCATTCTTAAAAACAGGTCAGATAAACTCCTGTCAGGGTTGGCCTAAGTTTATTTGGTCCTGCCTCAGCCTAGGGGGCTGGACTAGATGATCTTGGGGTCCTTTCCATCCATCCATAGCTATGCTCTCATGACACTAGGACAGAAAAATGTTTTTCCTCCCATTTCCCATCCACCAGCATCTACACTCATTTTCTTTACACTGCACCCCACAACAGCATGCTCCTTGCATCTTAATTCCAAGTAGGGATGTGAAAGTGTAGCTAGGTACACAGTTAAATGATGAGCCTGAACTCTTAGGTTAATCTTCATAGTCACACACAGGCTCCTGGTACATGCAGGGAGCTGTCCCCTCCCCCCACACTGCTGCTTCTGTATCAGGCACAGCAGCATGTGTGGGGTGGGGGTGGAGGGGGAGATATGAAGCAGCAGTACATGCAGGCGCCTCCTGTCCGCCCTCCCCTGTGTGTAACTGCTGAAATTTTCAGTGGTTACATGTTTACTTCATTAAATGCATTTTAATATCCTTAATTCTGGTTTACAACATATACCAAAGTCTGTCTATGCGTCAGAAGTTCAGTGGGAGAGAGCTGGGTAGAAGTACAAATGAATTTTTCTTTTTAGAAGGCTATGACAAGCTCACATGCACAAACTTACTTGCTGCTTTGATGAAGCTTCTTTGAAACTGGTACATCATGAGTGGCCCAGGCAGCATTCTGGAACAGGAATAGCAACAAATACATCTTTGAGCAAAAATAATCACTAAAATGCAGCTTGGAGTCAGCTGTTACCATAAATTCATTCTTAAATTATTAAGGGAACAGCTAGACAATACCAACTATCCTAACTAGTTTCGTGTCATCAGAAAAAAAACGTACTATACAAAGGAGACTTTCCTCTCTTTAACTAAAAGAGCTACTACAGCAGAATCAACACATGATAAGCCTCTCTGTATTCATTTGTGTGTGTGTGTGTGTGGGTATGTCTACACTACCCCGCTAGTTCGAACTAGCGGGGGAATGTATGCATACCGCACTTGCTAATGAAGCCCGGGATTTGAATTTCCCCGGCTTCATTAGCATAAGCGGGGAGCCGCCATTTTTAAATCCCCGCTGCTTCGAACCCCGTGTAGCGCGGCTACACGGGGCTCGAACTAGGTAGTTCGGACTAGGGTCCTATTCCGAACTACAGTTACTCCTCGTGAAACGAGGTGTACCGGTAGTTCGGAATAGGCACCCTAGTCCGAACTACCTAGTTCGAGCCCCGTGTAGCCGCGCTACACGGGGTTCGAAGCAGCGGGGATTTAAAAATGGCGGCTCCCCGCTTATGCTAATGAAGCCCGGGAAATTCAAATCCCGGGCTTCATTAGCAAGTGCGGTATGCATACATTACCCTCCTAGTTCGAACTAGGAGGGTAGTGTAGACATACCCTGTGTGTGTGTGTGTGTGTGTGTAAAATGAAATACTACAACAATTTAATGTTAAAATGTGTTACAGAAAACAGCTCTAAAATTTTAACAGTCATCACCGTCATAAAGAATTTTCCACATCCATCCATTTTTGTGCCTTGGAAGTCTTAACTCTCATTCTGAGGGAAAGCTTATGTAAATTTTGGTGCTGATGGAAGTGAAGGTCCAATAACACTGGCTAGAGAAGTGTTTCTTAAACTTTTTAAGACCGAGGAACACCAAACAATAATTTTTTTTCATGAGGAACACCAAGGATTTTTTGTTGAGCAAAAAAAAAAAAAAAAGTTTTTGAAGAAAAAAAGGTCACCTGCCCCTTTAAGGGTGGCCATTTTGAATTCTGTTGTTCTCCACGGCACACCTTCGGCTTGCCACAGAACACAATTTAAGAAACAGTGGGCTAGAGCTATGCATGGCACATGGTAGTACTGTGCTAATTCTCTCCATACAGATCTTAAAATGTACCACAATCTTGCCCTTCAGATTCTCTGATAGTTTAGTCATAGGGTTCCTCACAGTCTGAGGTGTATAGATTTGCCTATATACCTCAGCCCTGAGCTGTGAAATGGCCTGCTATTCCAGTCCTGTTTCTCACATTCTCAGTCTTCCCCATATACCTGATTCCTCTGCTAACAGTTCAGAAACTCAGGAGCAAACACTGCCATCCATGAAAAAAAGTTGTGTGATGGCTTTTGTTTCTTTCTTCTGTGTTTTAACAATACAAATGAGGTAGGCAGAAGTACACTGTTCATAACAAAATATCTAATGCTACCTGCGAACCATAATTTTAGTTTATGGATAGATCATCCTATCTTTAATATTAATTGTCAATCCATAATTTGATGCAATAGAAATGAAAATTAAGGATCAGAAGGAGACCACTATCAGAAGCTTGTAGAACCTACAAGTCCACTCAGTCCAACTTCTTGTTCAGCCAATCACTAACACTAACTAGTTTGTTCATATATATAGGAAAGACTGTTGCCCATTTCTTATTTACAATATCACCTGAAAGTGATAACAGGCTACTTTTGTTGCTGGCATTGCAAGGAATATTTGTGCTAGATACGCTAAATATTCATATGCTCTTCATGTTTCAGCCATCATTCTAGAGAAAATGCTTCCATACGGATGTTACTTGTTAAAAAATGTGTTAATTAAGTTTGTGACTGAACTTCTCGGGGGAGAATTGTATGTCTCCCGCTCCATAGTTGTATTCACTTTCTGCCATATAGTTCATGCTATGACAGTATCAGATGATGACCCAGCAGATGTTGATCATTTTAAGAACACTTTCCCTGGAGATATGACAACATTATCAGCGTGGCCACATAGCCTCTAGATTAATGGCTTAAGCATGAAGGGACATATGAATCTTTAGCCCATCTGGTATGTAAATGTCTTGTGACACTGGCTATGATAGTGCCATGCAAATACCTGTCCATAACTTTCAGGTAACATGTAAACAGTAAGTGAGCAATATTATCTCCTTCAAATATAAACAAAATTATGTGTCTGAATGACTGTCTGAACAAGAAGTGGGACTGAGTGGACTTGTAGGCTCTAAAGTTTTATATTTTTTTATTTTTGAATACAGTTGTTTTGTACATAATTCTCCATTTCTCAGTGCAGTTTTCATGATAAAGAGACTATACTACAGTACTTGTAATGAAAGAATTGAAAAATACTATTTGGGGTTTTTTTTCAAAAATATTTGTAATAAAAATATGTATAAAGTGAGCACTATACATTTTGTATTCCATGTTGCAATAGAAATTAATGTATATTTGAAAATGTAAAAAAATCAAACAATATTTAAATAAATGATATTCTATTATTGTTTACAGCCCAATTAATCGCACAAATAATCACACTAATTTTTTTAATTGCTTGACAGTCCTATTTATCACCAAATAACTAATAATCTCAAGGGCACCAAAGGAAACACTATGATATTGGCACTAACATTCCTCTCCACTGTATCAGATTTTGCTGGACTAGTGCTTCAGTAAATGATGTTACAAGTCACACCTATACAATACTAGAAGATAACCCAATTGTAATAATGGCATTAGTTTTCATGTGGTTACACTGTACCTACATGAAAGTTCTAAGCCTAACTATCTAAGAAAACCTTATCAATATTCACGGTCTTTTTTGGAAACACAAACACTGAACTTTCTGCCACTAAACCATCAGGAAAACAGATCTACCAGACAGCAGCACACTGGCATGCACTGAATCAAGGGACAAATTCAGTGAGGTTCACTTATGGCTTTACCATTTGTGCAGCATTCAGTAAACTCTCAAAGTTCTGCCCAAGCATGCATGGAGTTCAATGTTAAAGGCAAGGTGGAGTCTTTAAAAAGCAGTGTCTTAGTTGCTTTCAACTAGGAATGTGAAAGTTAAACGGGTAATGCATACCGGTTCCAATTCACTGGTAGGAGGCTAGGGCAGCTCCAGCCCCACGAGGCCCACCGCAAGCAAGCCTTACCCTCCCCCCTGCAGGCCATGGCATGCCCCTGCCCTCTCTCCCCCACATGTTACACCAGTGATTCCCAACCTTTTTCCCATGGCGGAAACCCTAAAATAATTTTTCATATCCTGAGGAACCTCTACCTATGAAAATGTTTGTTTGGCCAGAAAAAGTTGACAGCGGGGAGCACAATTCAATTACTGTGAATTTTTTTCAAGAAAATTTATTTGTAAAGAGGGGTGTGTGTGTGTGTGTGTGTGTGTGTGTGTGTTTGAGCTTACATTGTAAGAAAAAAATGGAGTATTTTCCTGTCTTTTTTTTTGTATTATCTAATCTTTTTTCAAATATCAAATATCCTCCCCCTCCTGCCTCACTCTCTTTCTCTTCTCCTCCTCCTCCTGCTTCTCACTCCTGGAGCCCAAACAGCCGCTTGCTCCTGCGTAACGGCCCAGCTGAGCAGCGCAGAAGTCAGCCGAGCGCCAGGGCGGGAGGCGAAGGGTGTGACAGATGCTCCAGGCCCTGCCCAGCATTATTTATTCCACGATTGCTCGCTGAACCCCTGATGATGGTCCGCGGAACCCCAGTTGGGAAACACTGGGTTACATGCTGGCTCCTCGTCAGGGAACTTTGGGAAAGGAACTTCCAGGAAAGTGGCTTCGCTGAAGCTCTGAATTATGAAGCTTATTGCTTTATACTGCAGAGCCTGAAGCATGTAACCAGTTATTAGCAGTTACGTGGTTGCCTTTTAAAACTAATTTTTTCACCCCTATTTTAAACTCCTTCTCTTGTCAAGAAACTTGGGTAGCGGGTGAGTTTACATATTTATGAATAGATATAAAACACACAGGAGGCTTTTCTCCTTACCTTAAGTAATTTTTCAATGCACTGGTGATAGTCTTTATCTCCCACTCTGCACAGATCTCTGTTTCTGTTTCAGAGGCTGTTTTGGGATCTAGGGAAGAAAGGCAATGAAAGAATGAGGAGCCCAAAGAGATCACATTAAAGAACACAGTCACCTCCAAAGTTGCTACTGTAGGGTTATCTCTGAAGGAAAATCTCACGGCCCTGTTTGGAGAGGTTTCTGAGAAATTACCACCACCAAGAAATACTTGGAGCCTTGCGAGCTGTTCCAGTTTACATGGATATGGATGAAGACAGCAATCAGAGGGGGGACACTAGGACTCACTTGCATGTGTTCAAAAGCAAAAGGAAAAGGAGCTGATAACTCCTAGGTCAGTGTTTCTCAACAAGTGGTACAAGTACCCTTAGGGGTACCTGAGAGAAGTCTGGGGGGGGGGATACGTCAACACAACTGAAACTTGGAGAAAACTGAATTTTTGTTTTAAGTTTTACAGCGCTTTATTATTTGTGTACTTTTTAAACCCAAACATTTCATCGTCCACCCAGCTACAATTAAGTTGTTTAAACAAATGTGTTGCAATAGTAGGAAAAAAACTGTCTCTGAAAACTGTAGGTACTGGGGGTACTTTTTTTTTAAAGGGGTACTTTATGGAAAAAGGTTGAGAAACACTGTCCTAGGTTATGAGACCAATGATTTTGTTTCAAGCGTGATAATAAAAAGGTTTCAAGGCACTGCTGTGCTTAGGTACTGCAATGATGGGAGCAGAACAAATATCAAACTAGATACACACTGTTTAATTTAGACTTTGGGGCACAATTGCAGTATAAACAAACAACAAAACAACAACAGTTATAAGAACAATAGCAGGAAATCGTTCCTAAATGACCGATAAGTGATTTGAGTACACAGTAGTACAAATTAGTAGTGGGGAATAGACAGTGACCACTATTAGCCAGGGCTAGCTGTATCATACAATTAAAGCAGGCAAATATTTGCCTAGGGCAACAAAATTACAGGGACAATATGACATTCAGTAACTGTGTGCATGTGAGATGGGGAGCTGGGAAAAGCAGATATTTGTATGCTTGCCCAGGGCAGAAGAACCACTAGACCTGACCCTGGTGGCAATTGAGGGGAGAAATATTACACATGTGCTTTAGCCACTTTATTCTGCCAGTGGAGTAAAAGAAGGAAACAAAGTTGTCGCACCCAGCACTACAAAGCAGGACATTGGCACAGCAGTATGTCAGCAAATTATCCACTGTGTCACTTGACCTTGTAGACTCCAGCTTACAACACCAGAAACCTGCTGTCAGTCTGGCAAAAGCACTCTCTGGCATTTGCTGCTAGAAGGTGGAGGGAGAAAACTCAGGCCATAAAGTTCCCATTGGCTTGCAAAAGCAAAAACATCTGCAAATATCCTCAGGGGCCCTGCTGGCAGAGTTCAACTGCATGGAAGCTTGTACATGATCAACTTTCTCTACAGCTATACGGGTGACAAAGTGGGGTATTCTTGTTTATTTTGATGAGGAGAGAAATACCAAAATCTGTTTTTAAATATTGTACAGCAATGAGTCAGGGAAGCCAGCTCACATTGGGCAGGTTCCTGGCTTAGAAGAATCATACTTCGGTTTGTTTTTTCACCTCTGGCCTCTTGATGTCATTCTATTAGTTTCCTACATCCTCTTCTCAGCAGACTGTTCCTTGGCATCCTTAAAGATTTTTTTTTTAAATGTCTGAATCATTCCGCCCTATCCCTGGAGTCAAATGCAGAGATTTACAAAAACTTCTGAACTTCCACAACATGAGCAAACTCTGGAGACTGTGTCAAACATAATTGCAAATCTCTTAATGCTAGGGGCAATCCAGCTCAAACAGCAAGACAACAAAAGACAGAGCCTGGCTCAAGTGAGCAGAAATTGGCAAGTTTTACATGTGCAAGCCATTGCATGAACCACATTTAGTAAACCAGCTATTTAGCCTTTGCCTATGCCAGGTCTCCAACCAACCAACCAACCATTATGTAACATTACAGAAAAAAAAAGACTCAAATAACAGTCAGGCTATAGGACTTTTTATAGCAATATGAGGCAAGTCTCTCAGAGCTTAAGCACATCCATTTTAATACACTGTATTTCCAGGTCAGCCTGTCCAGAGACTCCCAGGCAATCTTTGTTTTCAGAAAGGGCTGCCAATTTCTGCACCTCCCTGCCGATCTCTCTGGTATGCTGGGAGATGATGTCTTCTGATCCTACCTGGGAACAAATTAAACTCTGCTGGCAGGCAGTGCTGTGGGTTCATATTCACATCAGCAGTTTCCTTTCCCACGCTGACTGTTGCTCTCTACACACCTGCTCAGCGCAGCTTTAACTTTGCCCTTCACCTTCTAATTCCTGACGTTGCAGCTGCCCTCTTTGCCCAAGAAGAGTTGGTTTGGATTCAGGAGCTGGTCCAGGCAGTCACTGGGCTCAACACTTAGCAGCCCAGAAAGTGAGGCGCCTCAGTGAGGAGGGGCAGCCAACACCTCCAGCTTGGCAATGCAAAGCACTAACCACCCGGCCTGTCCCAGGACTGTTTTTAAACTTTATGAGTCCCAAATGCAAACATTCCTTTCCATGCCACCATGAAGGCACAGAAGGAGAGAGGATCCATTGCACCCGTTGGACAGGGGAAGAAAACCACTGCACAAACAACGGCCAGATCAGAGTGAACCAGCAGCTCACCTTTTATGTCCACATGCTCATTTCCCCAAGCTCCTCCAGCTATGTCGTGGTGAATGGCTACTCTCCAGCTCTTTCCTCTGGCCACAGAGGCATAAAAAAAACTCTTCCTTTGGCTGGCACAGACACACATGGAGGGAATCCACTGAAGCTATGGATGGCTGCCTTCTTCCAGCCCACAAAGACCAACTTGTCCACTTTTACCTCCCTGCCAAAGGAATGCTTTTTCCCCCAGTGGCAGCTCCCAGGGCAAACTGAATACAGCACTAACAACAGAGCCTGTCTCGTGGTTCTGCTACAGCCCAGCAAAGCAAAAATGTAATTAGCAGTGAAACAGGGGGCAGAGGACCCAGTCATGCAAGATCCTGCAGAGTGCCCTCGATGCCTTGTTCCATGTTCACAGAGGCTCAAGACCTCGCAGGATCAGGCCCTGAACACAAAGGGAATGTTGGGCACAGCTGTTTTCTTTCTGGGTTCTCAACTCTCTGACTGCCTCTGTGTCCTCTGGCCCAACAACCTGCTCAGCCCACCTGTAAAGACTGCCAGGTTTGGCTCCCCGCACTCCAACTGGGCCCAGGAAAAATGTGGAAGCACCCTGGCACATTCAGAAAGGATTGGTCAACAAATGGCTGTAAATGGTTCTTCCGCACCCTCTGCTGGATGATTTCAGGCGAGGCTTTACCAGGCCCCTTCCTCCCCAACCCAAAACAGGCTTGGCATCATGGTGGCCCGAGCAAGAGGCCATCCCTGGAGACCCTCTTGGCTCCTCAGCAGTGTAAACACACAGGATGAAATTCTGCACTGCACTTTACAGAGGCACAATATAAACTTTGCAACGGGGCAGAAGGAGTTGGGGTGAGGGGCAGCATCTGAAAGTCATTTTGTATCCTGCTAATCCTAGGCTGCTGCAGGAACTGAAAATGACTCAACCCAATCTGCTTAGAACTTCTGCCATGCACAGCATCCACTCCAACTGCACACCCTGGCATATCCCTATGCTGGCATTTATGGGGTGAAGGCACTCACAATGTCTGTGTCCAGGGAAATTCTCTCATTTATTCTACGTTTATTTTTAAATACTGCTTACTCCTCTCCTTCCCCTAATCTCCTCCAGGGGCCTCCCTGCCCTTTGTGTGCATCTTTTAAAAATTCACTTAAACAAACAAACAAACAAAAACGTGCAGCTGTTCTGCATAGACTGAATACGAGGCTTTAGCCAGCAAGATGTTTTCTTCCCAAAAGCAAGATCTGAAACAACTGCAGAGGAAGTTGTGCTTTTAAGAATCTGGAGTCATGCTGCCTCTTCTCTGATCTCTGTAAGTCTCCAACCAGATCAGGTAGCTAGGGGTTATTTCGAAGTCACTGTTTGTAGTCAGATAATACTTAAGGCAGTATTTTATCAGTTTCTGTGCAAGCTCTGGTGAAATAGCCTAATGCTATTACAGTAAAATAACTATTGAAAAAAAGGCAGGAAACATTTTTTGTTCCTGAAGATTTCTAGCATTTTGTACTTCAGTGCTACAGGCCCAAAGGATTTCTGGAATTGGTTACCATCAGGTATCTGTTCAGTGTCATATGTAAATGGAGCAGTCACTTTCAGTCCAGTTCCTAGCACACAACTGTCCATGTTCCAAAGATCACCATGACAACTGTCACCAAGAATTAAAACCAAATGACACTAAAATCCACCATTATATTTGCATTAATTGGCACTATCGGTGGTTACCTAGGTAAAAGCTCAGGTATGCGATCTGTAGGAGTGAGTATCATGGCTCCTCCAAATAACAATTGAAAAGCATTGTCTGGTCACTGTTTCAGAGGGGAAAAGCCATGAATAAGTTCCTAGTGCAGGCACAAGTATGTGCTTCCAATTGCTTTTGTGCTTGTTTATATTCCATTTAGGAGTTTGTTTATTGTCTAATTTAATTCTCAACCTTTTAACTATTGGAAGGTGAAATTGAGTGTATTAATTTCCTAACCATTGAAGAGTGATAAATAAAACCCTAGGCTTTGATTACAAGCTCAGGACACTGATTATACACAACTCAGATATAAAACTAGAAAGTGAGCCTTGATCTGCCATTGGTGCAAAAGGTGCAATTGCGTTTCATGCAACTAAAAAAGTGCTTGCCAGCCAGCCAGCCTGTAGGAAACAGACTCCTAAAGCATATAATGACTACCAAAGCCAAATATCACACTGCTAGGTGCAGCTTATTCCCCTCTGTCATTTCCCGACTTCAACTCAATGGTTGCTTTTTCTTGCATTCATGTATAATATATTCCTGAATAGTAAAACAATAGGTTAAAGTTGTAATTTTGAAAGCAACTGAAAGTATGCATTGAACAAGAATTAGGATTTTCTTAATGACA